GTGTTCAATGTAAATTACAGTATTCAATGTAGATTACAGTATTCAATGTAAATTACAGTATTCAATGTAAATTAGTGTTCAATGTAAATTACAGTGTTCAATGTAAATTACAGTGTTCAATGTAAATTACAAGTGTTCAATGTAAATTACAAGTGTTCAATGTAAATAACAGTGTGCAATGTAAATTACAAGTGTTCAATGTAAATTACAAGTGTTCAATGTAAATTACAAGTGTTCAATGTAAATTACAAGTGTTCAATGTGAATTACAAGTGTTCAATGTGAATTACAAGTGTTCAATGTCAATTACAAGTGTTCAATGTCAATTACAGTGTTCAATGTGAATTACAGTGTTCAATGTGAATTACAGTGTTCAATGTGAATTACAGTGTTCAATGTGAATTACAGTGTTCAATGTCAATTACAGTGTTCAATGTCAATCACAAGTGTTCAATGTAAATTATTTTCATTTTCACTGCAACACATAATTATTCATCTTTAATTAGCACTTTTGCTCAATACCATATACCACCAGATGACCATAGAATGTTCTTACATTTTATTTTGTTTGTCTCATTCAGTGAGAGTTCAACTGGCAGCAAATCCAATCCATATGAAGGTCTAAGGGTGAGTGTTCTTACTCATTGCACTTAACTTGAGAAAAATTTAATTGAAAGCCCTTGCAATTTTGACAAACATAAGATTGAAAATGAAATTTGAAAGCTATGGCATATGGAAGTGTGTTCTGATGTTAGATGTTCACTTGAATGCAGTAGTAACATGTGTAAAATAGTCACACTATAAATGGGAAGTTTTATAACCGGTAATAACTATACTGAAAACAACTAAATAGTCTGGTGTACATCTCATACTGATCTCAAAAACCTCACATCGAATATTGATAATTGAATTACTTATCATTTCAATTGCTTTGAACAAAATTGTTGTCAAGATACAACTCTGTAGATTGTTGATGTTTAGATTTGACATTTTATATTTTACACCATTTGCATCTGACTATCCTATATAACTCACATCAAGCTAAAGGTAGCATGATGTTGCATGGATTAAATTGTTGGCTAAGTAAGCTGGACATTACCAATAATTTCTAACATATTTCTCGTGTTTGCTTTTTCATGGAAATAACACTTTTGTGTTTACAAAGTGATCACACTGATAGATAATTCAGTTCTGAATTGTGACTTCATTATTGTTGACTTTATTATTGTTGCTTTCGACCAATATAAAGTTCATTCTGTTACAAATGATATTTTTTGCTAAAACAATAAATACAAAATTAATACTGAAATTCTGTAAAATTTATCTATTTTATTTAATTAAAGGCGCAGTGGTTGTCATGTAGCTTGTTTGAATTTTGTGAAAAACAAACAACATCTTTTACACAAGTTGTGTTGTCATGACTACCACCCTTTAATGGCTACTTGTAATTGACGTTAGACTTATGGAAATCCATCTTTTTCTCATCCTCTGTTTGATGCATAAAGTAACTCTGTTTTCTAATTCTGATTTTATTTTTCATGTAGAATCGTGATGCTTTACCAGAGTCTCAGCCACCAAGAAAGATGCTGAGTGAGGTAAGTTGAGCTAAACTGGAAACATCCTGGTTGGTTTTTTTCCAACATCTTTTGATGTATACTTGAATATTGTGAATCATTTCATTTTCATGACTGCACATTTTTACCATTTTGTTGTGAAAGTCATGACAACTTGTCTCGTAGGACCGCTATAAATTTTAACCTGCTGCAAAATTTTAGAATTTTTGCTGACTTGTGAAATTTACGAAAAATATTGAAAGCATATAAATTATTTAAATTGAATTGGTATATATTTATGTATCTAGCACTGACAATAATAGAATTTACCATTCCATAAAAATCTGTATCTGCATTAGTTCCTAAACAAAATTAACCCTTATTTAGAGTAAACTACCTCACCAACATTTACATTTTATTACATTATTTACACCTTCATTGGTTGCACGCAGAAGCACTCTATAGCGTGAATACAAAAGTTCTTACAGTGTGAAATGTATTTTGTTTTAGACTTTCCTCAGGCTGTTCTCTCCTTAAATTATTAGTACAACTATTAGAAATGTATAACAGTAAGGTTATTACAAGAATGCCACAAATTAGTTGATATGCTCGCCTTCGTGCATACCCCGGTACTTTGTGATATTCTCAAGGTAACCTCCTAGTATTGCATTGTTCATATTTTTCAATGCTAAACCAAGTTCATTCTGTACGCTGTATAATAAGGTATTGTATTATTTTAATTACAGCCTAATTTGCATGCCAAGCCGTTAATTGAACACCGACGTCCCGTAGAGAATCCTATCAATATAAAAATACTAAGATATATGCTAAGAGGTCACGGTAGAGACTCCCATCATGAGTTTGAAGTAGAAGTAAGTATTGCACTTCATGTACTGCAACAAACATTGCTAAATACTATTACAGGAATTCCAAGTTTATATAAACTCGTATTCTGGATGAATAAGCAACTATGAAATTTGTTGGTCATTGTCATGACTGGTATGTTAAAATGTTATTAAAATATGAAATTGTGTTTAGTAGACAATGTATATACGGCAATTATCACTCTTCAAGTGTTAACTACTGTAAATCCAGATATTGTTGCTTTCATAAGACCTTGTTTGAACTACACCCTCAATATACTATAGTGTACAATTGGTCCCACTTCATAGATGACATGTTTGAAGCTGAATATCTCTGTGAACTCAAACATGTGTAGTTCTCTTCATCACAAACCACACTTGCTACTGATAATAATAATAATAATAATAATAATAACTTTAGTACAAGTTTCTATCAGTTGATAGCGATAAAGATTAGTTGTGATAACTACTACTACAAAAAGAAATTAAATTTCTGAAGATCATCCTGTGTTTCATGTGGAAATGTCAATGTACTATGTCAGGATACATGTCGAAATGTCATGAACCATGGGTTCATGTTTCAAAGGTTTATAATATTCATTAAGAATAGATATATTTTGTTTATAGCTATTATCAGATGTGTTTTATGAATAACATATTGAAGCATAAGCAAGCATATTTAAAACAATGTGAGCATGATATTCTGTTGGTGTCATTTATGAACAGTGTCTGTAATAAATGGACACACCACAATATATCATGTTCAATATGATGTAAACAATTTGTACACATAGTATTGTCTGTTTACACACAATTTGAATGGTTTCTGTAAAACGGCGATGATGCTTTAAAGCGAGCCTTCTTTCTATTTTGTATGCAGAAGACTGCTCTGCTTCTAAAATAAAATACTAATTCATTGTGTTCACAGGTGTCAGTCTTAGATGATAACTGGGTTGTATACAGAAGGTATCGAAAGTTTCGAGAACTTCATGAAATGATGAAGGCTGTGTACCCTGAGGTGAGTTCATTCTTTTCATAGTTACATGTACATTGATGTTATCTGTCAAACCTCTTAGTCATCCCGACATCCCAAACTTGGTAAATAAGATGCTGCCATTGTCAGTTTAGTGCCACCTATAGACTTCATTAAATAAAACTTCTGTTTATTTAATTTGCTCATTTGCATATTTAATTCATTTTAATTCAGTCTTTTATTTTCGTCTGTCCAATGTCTTTCTGAGTTTTGTGTGCACTCTTCCCTTGTGCCATTGCATTGATTATACACTATTACATTTCATTCACAGATTGGTGCATTAGAATTTCCTCCCAAAAAGTTATTTGGTAATAAATCTGAGAAAGTTGTGTCTAAAAGAAGAGATAAGCTGGAGGTAAGTATGTATAAGATAATTTGTGTGTATACTAAGGAATAACAGTTCACAAAACGTAATTTCATATTTTCAATGATACACAATTTAAACATTTCCCTAATTATGTTATTGTTCTATGAAATCCACCTTGATTGAAGTATACACGGTAATGTAATTTGTGATTCCATCATGTGATCTTTGTCAATCTTGCTTGAAATAACAATATAATAATTTGACAGTCTGTTCTAATTATATTATCTCATGTGGGTTTTTTTTTTAAATGATATATTTAAAATAAGTTTTCTTGTCTTTGTCTGCAGAATTATCTTCGGAGTTTCATCCACGTTTGTCTAAGACTCCCGTCCAGTCCGTTATCACCAGGTGATGGCAAGATATTATCTAAACACACTCTGTGTGATTTTGCTCCGTTCTTCAGACAAGGTGCCTTTGAAACTACTAAATATAGTACTTCATAATAAATATGTATCTCTTATGTAAACACCGTGCCCCTTCCCTTCCTATCCAAGGTAACAGTTGGCATTTGTATTCCATATCTCGTACACCTTGATTTTTACCGGTAACTTATTTATAAACTTTCTGAGACAATGTATATTAAGTGTAAATTACAACAAAAACACCTGTTTGTGTTAGTTTATGAAGTTTGTATTTTTATGCATGAATTACTAATATTTTGTCAAACTATACCACAAGTTATTCAAGTGTTGCGATAAAATCTGGTTTTCAAAGCAGACTCAATCATTGTCAGTTGTATAGACATTTTAGCAGCAAGCTCATCACAGAACAAAAGAATTTGGATTTATTTTTAATTTATTTAATAACGGATATATTATTTTTACCCCTCGGTCTTAACGATGCACCCTGTATCAATCCTATTGAAGTAACCAAAGAATTAAAACTTAACCTTAAATGAATCTTTTGTTCTACAATAAAGTGGGAATGACATTAGTACATCAATACAAGTTTAATTAATTCTTGAAGGTTATATACATATTAAATTAGTTATAAAAAAAGAAAGCTCATTTGTATATATGATATATTGTATATTTTGATAAGGCTGAAGGTGGATTTGGAATGGTGGAAAGTGAAACTCATTTGGATTGAAATCTTTAATAATAGATATTGTACATTTCCATATTTTATTGAAAACAGTTTTTTTTTTTAAATTTAAAATTTGCATTAAAAGCCACACTGCCTAGTTGCATGAACATTGCAAAAGTTGAGTTTTCAGAATATGCCGACTGGTGGGAATCATCATGCACCCACCACCCAAATGCTTTGACAGTTCAGAGTACATTAATTAACTTGTTAATTAACAAATTGCTGCTTTTCATTGTCGTTAATTTATTGATGTCTGCATTTTAATGAAGTGTCTTTTAATTTAATAGTACATGTACATTGAAACCTGTCTAAGTCAATCAATTTCGTTATTTTTCCGTTCTCTAAACTTGATTAAGAACGGTATATTACATTACATACTGATTCTATTTTTTTCACATGCATTTTGGCTATCTATGAAGGGTTTAAGCAGATCATGTGATAATCATATACTGTGGAATACTTTATTTTCGCTGGAATTAATTTTCGCTGAAAAGGCTTTTTGGGCGTTTTGCTTGGAATTTATTATCTCTGAATTTTCATGAGTTTAATGTGAAATATAGGGGAAAAAGTATATTCGCTGGATTTTAATTTCACGGAATCATCCCTTCAGCGAAAATAGCGAAAATAAAGTATTCTACAGTACCTTGTATATGCTATGGGAAGTGCGCCCTCACATAAGGGTTATAATTTCCCACATCATGTCGCCAGGTTTTCATGAATCAAAACGAAACACGTCATTCAAAATTGTAATTACATTGTGGTAAAATTGTAATTACATAGATAAGGTATATGATAAAACCTTTATAGTCTAGATTAGACCGAAACATTTTAATATTTAAATAAACAGGTTTCACTATGATGTCAAAATAACACAATCACTCCAGACTTATGTAAGTCTTTTTGCATTTGATTGGTTTTCAATAGTTTTTACTGATGTCATTTTAAAGTTTGTTTTTTGCATGCATGATCCATGTGAATTTTAGTTGTATGTCTGATACTAACGGGTCTGTACACAAAGCAGTATTGTCACAATTAGTCACGTTCATTTTTTTGAATGGTTTATTCTCTCATAGGCTCTAAAATGTACAAATATGGACATACAGTAATTAGGTGAATTTTCTCATTACGCAATGGCACATTGCTTGGGCATTGATATTTGTATTCCATTCCACGCAGGTGACATATTTGATGTTTACTCTTCAAAACATTTATCTAGTGATAACTTAAAAATTGGCAATGGCCGCCATCTCAGATAACTGTTGCATAGCACCAGTCAAGCAAAAGCAGTCACAATACAAGTTTCACAGGACCACAAGATGTTGCTTTTCTATGCCATGTAGAGTGAAGGCCTGTAAAATAATTATACTGTGTTGTTTACCACAATAACAAAAACAGTTGCTACTTCCTTATCAGTCAGACATTGTTGTTCCCGGAGATGGGTAGATGGAAAAGAAAAACTAATTCACGTAATCCCTGAAAAAAAATAATCCTGTTTTTAAGAATTAATGTGTATATGTATTGCCATTGGTGAATGAAGGATGTATACACCATGGTGGGCTATACAGGCAAAAACATACCAATGAATGTGAGAGTGCCCTCTATGGTTTGAATTAAATTTCATTTGTTTTTGTATGGCAAAGGGTTTAATGGAATATGTTTGGCAGGTGATGGTTTTGTCTGTACGTCACAAAGCAATATATCTGTCGCACATTTGTGTGTGTTTAGGTTATTGAATAATTTGAGAGAATGTATCTGTAGAATTATGTTTATTTGTTGAATAATTTAATTATTTTTAACCTTGCACTTTTTCTTGCACTGTAATCTTGTCATATCTTGTTTTAGTGTTCACATTTTAAGACAAACTTTCTTATCAACATACCCTGAGACTCGACAATAACCTGTAACATACTTGTAGTGTATGGGAAACTGGTGCTTTCTTGAGGTATTCATCATAGAAATATTTTATAAAGACGAGAAACTTTGCATTTAATGTTTGAATTATTTATTAATAAAGAAAAAAGGACAACAATTGTCTCACTCATTATAGAAGTGTTGCACATTTGATGGAAATTGAGGCAGGGGAGGAATTATCTGGAAGTGTAGACAGGAAACAAAAAAAAACTATCAATTTCTGCCCCAAGACTTGTCTTGTGTCAGAAATATTAAGTTTTCTAGTATTTATGTTGAAACTTATCTTCAGTCACAGAGTTGCCACGGAAACTATTATTAATTGTTTATATAGAGACAGTATATACAATTGGTTCATTTCTGACACGGAGACGCGGTAAATAACAACTGTGTTACCAGAATTTTCAATGTGCAGACATCAGTGAATATCCTGTGTGTATGTGTGTCCGTCTGTTCCACTGCTATCTCAAGAACCATACATCGTTTTTTGTTGAAACTTGGTGCATATATACTCTGGGCCAATGCGCAGATTTGATTAAGTTTTGTAGAAATCCATACATATTAATTACCTAATTTGCATGATAATTAGCTAATTTTTAGCTGTTCCATGACTGTTCCACTGATATCTAAAGAACCACTCATTGGATTTTAAATGAAACTTGGTACATAGATGCTCTGAACTAATGCTAGGATTTGATTAGTTTTTGCATATTAGTTATCTAATTTGCATAATGATTAGTCAATTTTCGGTTTTTCCACCGATATCTCAATTTCTAATCATCACATTTCAATGAAACTTGATGCATAGATTCTCTAAGACTATGCAGAGACCTGATTAGTTTTAAGGTGAATAATTGTGCATTTTAATTACCTAATTTGCATAATTAATTAATAAATTTTTTTCAGCTTTTCCACTGATATTTCGAGTACTAATCATCACATTTCAATGAATCTACACCTATGCAGAGACCCAATTAGTTTTCGGCCAATATTTATGCATATTAATCACCTAATTTGCATAACTAACCAATTTTCACACTGATATCTCAAGTACTAATCATCACATTTCGATAGATGGTCTGTTAAATTGCGCATTAGTTTTTTCGAAGCTTTCTTTGATTGCTTGTTGTAATATATATATTTGACAGATGGATGTAATATGGAGTTAGGGCCCAATTACTTGCATCTTATTTGTGTAATCCATCAAATGTGTATCAAAAATAAATTGTATAGTGTGTTCACTATACAGCGGTGGCAACTCAGATGTCCATTGACCCTCCTAAAATCTATTTTTTAACACTAATGATTGTGAGAGAAAAAGTTGCTCAAACTAAGAGAACAGCTACAAGATTCAGTTTCCCGGTTAGTTACATTGATAACAACATCAGTGTGAATGAGCTTTCCAAAAGCCCTGTGATTCTACAGCTCAAGTCAGTCTCCAAACCCAGTGGTACACCTCACTGCTGGGGATACAGCATGAATCTGGCAAAGTCTAATAACTCCTGATTAGGGGCAGATTTTACTGACATATGCAATGTCAATGACCAGCAAGTATCCCTGGCCTGGAACACTTGTGTCCTTATGAACTTGTTTGTCTCAGCCATAAACTTCAAACTGAATTGTGTAATTTTATTTGGACAATTGCGCATATTCGTTGGATGCAATGGTAATGTCGTGGGTGAATCTAGAAGGATTCAAATTTGATGATTAGGTACAACTTCTATTTTTATCCCCTCCCCTCAAATCATGAAATAGACATTCGTCTGTTATGTGGAAGAAACACAACGCTTCGCGACCATTGGCAATTTGGTAAACACACGATTATCCAAATATTCCTTTAGATCAGAGGTTAAATCACAGGCATTTTAGTCAGTCATGTTGATCGATCATGTTCTAGCCATGGCAGACAAAAAGCATCTTCCTTGACATAATTTATCAGACTTAACTCATGAAGCATTTAATCCGATCTAAGTGTTTTAGTTCACAGTGGAGTTAAGTCCCACAAGACTATTCTTTATTAGACGAATTTATCAATGCTAAATAGAATAACAAATTGTCTTAAAGACATATGTGAGATAATATATAATATATATATATGATTTCGTTTTAGCTCTGTTTCTTCCTAATCAAGGGGTTAGATGATAAGACCAACTTAAATATCTTATTGTCTCATTACTTGTTCAATTATAATGTTATTCTAAAAACGGCTGTGCCTCCCTTTTTTACTTTATGAATTTAGACTGACCATGTATTCGTTTGAAACCCTGGCAATCACCCACCTTAACACTGCACCTTAATTCTGGGTTTGTGTACTCTGCCTGCTTCTTTATTGAATATTGGTAAGTGTGGGCATGGTAAATGCACAAATCGAAGATGGCACTAGGGTTTCTCAGGTTGTTGGTTTTTCTGGCATCTTTCGTTTCCTATTTCAGAACTGGGTCAAATTTGAGTGGTTATTCGAGTTGCCTTTTATTCAATACTCTATATCAAATGGTGCTAAGGTAAGCGTCACTTCGCTATTGCAAATTACAAATCATGACTGGTTAGAATTGTTCATTGTTCAGGAGTAGCTGAATAAGTTAATGATGACTTTGTTTTAACCGAAAATGAATCATGTTGTCCGCTCATCATATTGTTGGCTATGTTCTCATAAAATAAGAACTCAATCATAGCCTGAATTGGATATGCTTCATGGACACCTGCGTTAGCAGAATGACAACAGTTTAGTATTTCTTCTCAGATTCACCTATACAGATTTTCATCACAGATGCTTGTTGAAATCAAACTCTCTATTTGGAATGTCATCAGAGACGATACATGAGATACACGAGTTGTTACCTCACTAAGGAATCACCCAAGAATATCAGAGCTTGTTTCTCTTTATCAAAGTAACAGGTGACTTTAGACCAGTTTTAACCTGACCCTGCAATCACAATTCAAAGTTCTCTCATTCTGCCTGTCCATGATGCCATTGATCTCTACAACGGTGTGCTGAGGTGTCTGCAAACTCCACTGAGCACCACTCTGTATCATTACATCAATAATATTCTCTTTCACCAATCACAAATGAAAGTTTGGTTTAAGGTTTGAATCGTTCATTCATTTTTTCACAGAATCAACCCAACAAATCTGGCAATGAACATAACTTCATTTTCCACTCACTACACAATTGTACAGTGTTCTCAACTACTGCTATTGTTGGGCAATTCCAACTCGTGACTGCAGTGGGCGTTCTAGTCTAGTACCACGTGCCAACTTACATCGCGGACCCATTCAGCAACTATTGTCTATACAACTATCAGTGTCTAGGCGCAATACTGGCTATGATGCCTACCAATATAGGTGTAATGAATAGTGTCTGCGATGTCCACCAGTGTATATGCTGGATAGTGATTTCGTTGCCTACCATATTTTCTCTCAATGTGTTTACTGTATATTGGTCGCTATGGCTGCCAGTGAGAGAGGTGCATATTATGGTCACTATGCCAAGTATATGTGTGCATGATACCTACCGGTGTATGTCTCGAGTAGTACCTGTGTTGTTGTGTTGGCCTGACTAGTGTACGTGTTGAGTAGTGATCGTGATGCCTGCCTGTGATTATGCTGTATACAAGCCAATATGTGTTCAGAATATCAGCCAGGATGTTTGTCATTTGCATTTGCTGTATAAAAGACACAAATTGAATTCCGTTCAAGGGAGAATTCTCACATCAAAAATGTACTTTATTGATTCTTTTTTATACATTCCATTTTCTTATCAGCCGACATTCCATCGATTTAGATAGATCGTTTCATACACTTTTGTTCTGCCGCAGTAAGAGAAGTGAATAAAAGAGGCTTTATCGCAAAGGTTTCCTTCCACTAATGATTTGACTGTATTTGCATTATAGCAATGAACTGCGACTTCTTATAAAATCTGTTATTATATATTCAGTAGAACACGGCAGCAGATTATAGATTGCATTATATATTAGTCTTCTACGAACAGCAAATTCCCGCAGCATACTGGACCATTTGCCGACAGGAAAGAGTTCTTGGCTACAAACATGACTAACAGAATATTAACTGTTACAGTTTGACATCTCCAGTTGGTGACTCGGTGGTAGAATTTAGTGTTCTTTGTGTGGACTTATTTATGTTGATATAACTGACAATGCCTTTTGTTCTCGAATGATTGGCCATCGGCGTGTGTAATTAATAGGGATAAATGATAAATTGAATCTTTCTATTCATTACATAATTAGACTTGAGGTTTCCATAGGTGCGTGTTGCATATGAACGACATCGATGAGGTATCAACAGATTTTATGACAGAAACGGAAATGTCAAATGACAAGCTATACTACTATGTCATTAATCTGTCAAATCTGACTTAAGCAAATATAAATTAATAAGGTAACATAACGTCCGCAATATTATTTAAGCCACACTGTTCTTCGATTTTGCAAGTTGTCAGATCTGTAATTAATAAGTTTTACACAAGTATATATTGAAATTAGAGGCAACCGGATTTTGTTACGCTATAGCATCGCACATTTTAATTCAAAGACATTTTCGAGAAGTGGTCGGCCAGTAAAGGCTGTTTCGAGGCATATGAGAAGGGCATTTCATACCTGTTCTCAACTAAATTATGAAAATGTCTTGAGTTATTAAAAGAACAACCCCTGGAGAATATTAAGTTCTTTTGGTCTGTCATGCATGTTTTCAAGATATTTAGATTTGTTGGTTGTACATGATCCAACTTCCATTGTGTTGTTTTCATAAATAGTACAGTAACATTGAATAATACATTGACATAACTGGAGATTATTGAAATGCCAGGAAAAAACAAGTACTCAAAAGCTGACAGAGTTTGTAATTGAAAGAAGCAGTGACTGACATATCTGGGGATTAAATTGTTGAAGGTTGAAAATCAGGGATTAACGTACGCAACGATTGATAGGTTGAAGCCAAGTCTTTGAAAGGCTAGTGATTGACATGATAAGGGGTTCAAGTACTCAATGATTGACTGATTTAAGTTTTTCCAGGTATGGGAATTTGCTGACCCACGTCAAGACATTGATCCGGGGTTTGCCAAGTCCAACGATTGATTGGTCCATAGCTTAGACCCAAAAATTGACAAGTTCATAATTTGTCACACCAGAGATTGACAAGCACAGCGATTGTCACATAAAACATAAACTTGATAGAGTCTGCCATGAACAGAATTGACAAGTATAGAGGGTAGTGTGGCAGGATTTAAAACGCACATGGGTTGATTTGAACTAATACCGCCATGTTCCGAGGTCATCTTTTCTATGCTATGCACCAGCTGGCATACCAGTCGGATTTGGGGAATAAAACAAGCCGGGATATTTGGTTACACCGCAGATGAAACATGATTGTGATTTGTCGTAGAAATATTACATAACTCGATACAGTTCCATATTGAATTCGGAGTCGACACTACATCGATACCGTGGCTGTGTCGCCTGTCTCCTGTACACACGCAATACAACAGACTCCTCAATATGGCGATGTAGGTCGTTCACCATTTTAATAATAACTGAAGCCGGTATTTGTAATATTTATCTTAGGAAAGCCTCTGGCATTGCTGGTTACTGATCACAAAAGATTAAATAAAGTTGCTGCCATAGTGCATGAACTGAGTATAGAAGAGCATACATTCAAAGTGCCACGGAGTTACACGAGATATTAAAACTACTCAGGATGCTGTCCAATGTAACTTAACATGGTATTGCGTTTAATCCGGGTATTTAATCGAGTCTTTTTAATCCTGAGAAGGGGGTAGCATTGATGGCACACACGTATTCATACAAACTTTTCATGTAGTTTATAAAATGTAATGAATTTTATGCTTGCTCAGTCATATAGAGGTAACGAACATATTTTTGGTCGCTTCAAATTATTATAAATTCGACTCTTTATACCCGCTGTTTAGAAATAAGTGTGACCTCTGTTAAGCTCTGTTGACTTTTGTTCACGAGAACCTATTCAAGACGGAGACAGTCAGTCGCCTGGCACGCAGACAAATGTTATACGTAAGTTTAATACTACCACGCAACAAATAAAATATAATTTACGATGGATTGCGCGTACTTCGAAGCAGTATTCGTCACATTGTCGCCATTATTTTAATGTCAGATTAGTCACGCGTTCGATGTACATGTACTCATTCGAAAGGAACAATTTGGAAATTCCAGTTTATGTAATATCTTTTATTATTCCGTTCGACAGTAATTATTTGTTTTCATCACTCTAATCAACGCTAACTGATGTTCCCCAATATTATTCTCTCGTCTGCAAATATTAAATAAATAAACAATGGTATTGTCTAAAGAGTTTTTCTCTTATAATATCTATTGACAAAATAGTTTAGCACCTATGGCCATTGTCAGCTCAGTGTTTTTTGTTCTATGAAATTTTCGTCACTTCCGTTCAATACTGGCGGGAATCCAATGTCGTCTGCACGGGCGTCATTTTAAACAGAAACACGGCAATTAGATCAGAAGCAGGACATACGCTCCCTTCTGCATAATTACGTTCTCCAAAGGATTTATGTAAGATGTTTCAATTCGACGACTGCTATGTCAACAGAACGGACGTTTGCATGTGCTTATATTGCTTCACGTTTTCCATCGCTCATAAATTCGTCTCGATTTATGGCGAACAGTGTCACACAGTTCTTAAAATTAACTTCAATCGTGACATTTTTCACAGTTTTATTCCCATTCTCCGCCTTTCCTCTTCTCGTTTCCTTTCTTCATCAGCTTGTTGCTGTAAAATAAACGCAAACGAGAGAACATATCGTGATTCTCGGAATAATGTGTCATTGCGGTACTTTGATCACCTACTCCTGAAATAGGATAACACGTTTCCCCTGTGGGCCATTTAGAAGAAACGTGCGCACAATCGAAGCGTGTAAAGTAATTCATAAAATTATATAACGTAACTAAAGCATATTGTATAGACATTTGCCACACCAAGAATAATGAGTGTTGAGTACTAAATATGACAATCACCGGCTAGAGGAGTTGTGTTCTACGGCGCGTACAACGCCAAGTGGCGCCATCTAGTCAAGCTACGTTTGAAAATAACATGCATCGCAACTTGTTCGAGAACCACGATAAAAACATCAACTCTCTGTCTATCACACCGATAAATATATTAGTTTTTCATCTTGCATGGCTACGAGACTGATCACACGGCCGTGCAAAAAGTTATTTGTTAAATTCGTCGCAATTCCGTGAAAATTCACCAAAACCCGTTTAATTCTTTCTTTGTTTGTTTGTTTGAAACCTTTTATAATTGACGAAGACGGAATAATAATTTCAATTCTGCGGCGTCTACTCACCAATTACGAGGAATTGCAAGGAAATTATAGTTGTCAAAAGAAATAGAAAAACGATTGTTCATTGTGTCTGAATTAGAGGTTATTTCGTGCCATATATTTTTAACAATTTGTGTCGGAAAAAAAATTATGCCTCTAAATGGCATGCGTTGATGATCGGAAGGAAGGCAATTTGTGCTTTTATCCGCTCAAGATTTTCTTTTATAAAAGCTCTGAAATCTCCTCAATTAAATTTCCATTAAGAAAGACGGGGTACATATTCTGTGAAATGGGGCAAACTCAAGACACATACGGAGGTTAATTTACCTCGGCTGCGATGCCTAGTTTGTCCATTGAATCGCTTAATTCAATTACATACACGGATTATATAGAATTAGGAAGCTTTTCATCCAATCTGAAGTACAGGTGACGAAAATAAAAAAAAAAATGAAAGCAAGGTTTTTCGAGAGCTCTTTCTGCCACTAAATTAAAATACACGAAGAGTCTGTAGTGCTCTTATTTAAAATATACATGGAATGTTAAGGTAAACTCGAATGCTTGATAATTCGAGTGTTTATACTAACGTGCTTTTTTTCTTCGAGAACTAAAGACAGTTACGTGCAGAACGAGAACGAGTTGAGATTCGAAATATCGTCATGGCCACGCACGGTTTTGAAAGCAAGGGATAATTGCAGCGTTGGATGCCACGTATCTTGTGTGTGTGTGTTATACCGGCGGAAAAAAATAAATGATTTTAATCTTTCAACTGAATTATATGTTGCGATGGACCATATTTGCATATAATGCCCACCTCTCTTATCTGAGCCTGTCTCTGCTGAAGCAACTGCTCTCGCGTGACGTAACGCTCTCTCCTTCCTTTCAGTGTTTTCTTCTTTAGCATCCTGGCTACCAGGCAACTCATAAATGACGAGACGATGCTGTTCACGCACTCCAAACCTGCCGTTGTCAATGCCAGTATAATGAGTATATCTTGTTTCTCCTTTGCATAAGTTTGACCATCCGATGTGTGATTCACTAGTCCTATCCGAAGAAGCTGAATACTAACAATTGCTGTGATGAGACTCACGAATGAAAATGCAGTGAAACACATAATCTGAAAATTAAAAAAAAATATATTTTAATATTCTGCAGTTAAACGCGCACCTGTTTTATTTTAATTATAAATATACACGAGCTATGTCATCCGATTGAATTTTAAATGACGATGCTGTAATATAAAATGTTTCCGCCGATATCGATAATGTCAAATGTAATGATCGAAACTATGAATAATTAATTAGTAATACATCGCTTGATATAGACATGCTCTCTCGCTTACGCATTATAAAGGTATGTCCTGATGATAAAAACGATGGCAAACCGTAGACGTGAATGGATGCCAAGATCTCGCTGGGAACGAGAGAGCCACGGGACATGTTTTCCTTTTCAAATGCCGTGTTTCATTTGTTTTACAAGTCTCATTGCTCTCTCGCACCCAACGAGATTCAGGCGGCCATATATGTCTAAGCCGGTTTATTAACCATCGAACACAAAATATAATTAATAAGCGTTTTCTATTTTGGGTTTGGTGTTTCCAATAATTATTGACATAAACGAGTATATAAACTACTATTAATATAATTACAAACTTGATCTGGGTTTATGGCGCGTGTAGTTTTGCGTTTTAAAGAAGATGTTTTTCACAATGTTTCATGTAAGGGTTATATACTTACGTCACGGATCTACAGTCGATATAAATAAAATACACAATATTATTTCAATACGTTTGCTTTGATCAATAAAGCATACAACAGTTACACCTTAGACGTGACATCATAAAACACTATTGCCAGGTTGTTTTTGTTTCAAGGCTTTTTTTAATGGTGTGATTCAACTGGCGTATATTATTAGCTCAAAATGCTCATATGCTCATAACGCCGCATTTCTGGATTTAATTGTCTTTTCACAAGATCTGGCGATTCATGGCTACGAGTATGGATTAGCTGTTGTGCTATGCTACGCGTAAAAACACGAGCTACCATTATCGGATTTAATAACGATTTTGCTTTCTACCATAATTCACAATACCGTGCTCTTTTAAATATATACTGCCTGATTACGGGGAGCTCTGTAATAAAATACGAAATCTGTAAGTCTTGAACCTTTATATTTTAGATATTCCCGCAATGCAGAAAAATCAATTGAGAAATGAATTCCTCGCTTCGCTTCTGTGCATCTGCGATTGTAGAAAACAAGGATTTGACCGTGCTCGTCGGGTCATAGCACAGGAAATTGACGGTTATCGTTGGATCATAGCGCAGTGTAATGACCGTGTTCGTCTGGTCATAACACGGTATGATGACCGTAGTCGCTGGGCTACAGCGCAATATAATGACCGCAATTGCCAAAGTATGTCGCATATTTTTAAAGAATATATACTAGTAACACATTCAGATAAATGTAATGTTAGATATATATAAAGTGCTGATTTTCCCACGCAACAAGCGATTCTTCAAACAATTTGCCGAATTACTCCAGAGAAATAAACACGACACTGGTGAAAATCAACAACAGTACCAAGGAGAATAAATTAAATTAATTTCTTCAAAGCCGCTGAGATAAAAGAAGCACACTTCAAAACTGGCATTGTATCTACAACTAATTAGTTAATTACATTTAACGAACATAATCTACTTTGTCAATGGCATCAATATCAGCAATAACATGCTTCTCATAGAGGAGCCAAAGTGTCAATTGTTGAGACGGAACCCTCAATCGGTTTTTATTAGCTTCTTGGCTGGGTATCTTTACATCCAATGACACAACAATAAGACACGTCACTGAGCTTCAGTTTATTTAATAATAATGTAACTCAAGTTAATTATTATATTTATTCAGTCTATATACATACATTGATCCATGTTAATAATCCGATTATATGCGGAGTTGCGTATTTTCCCCGTTACAGTGTTGCCATGGTAACACTTACGTAGTCACATTTTATTCTGTGAATTCAATGGTTAAACTATTCATCATATAAAGAATCAACGTTTACCTTACCAGAATAAAAAGAAAACAAAATATAACATTAGAGTTTGGTATTAAAGTAAGCAGCAGGCTCCACTTAATAATGGAGTAGATCCATTATATTAGAACCAATGCTCAAGTAATGTACTCACTCACTCACTCACTCACTCACTCACTCACTCACTCACTTTTTAGGAGCGCAGTGCTATGCATATCAGTCACATCTCCACATGTGGCACCTAGATGGGGGTAACTTTGATTGACTGAAATCAGTTTAAGGTTAGAGGCCAGGAACAAGAAATGATCGATGGCAGTGAACATGAATGATCACGCTTGTCACCGCGACGTGTCCAGTGCCTAAGATGCCGTGCTCGGTGTTTAATCTTTCGAACTTTCCAACCTCATGACGAAAGTTCTGTAAGTGAATTCCGCACATTGCCAGCAGGTGTTACTATTTGTCTCCTCAATAAAAACACGTATTTATGGTCACATAAACTTAAAGTACGTGAGTTAATAAATTCAAATTTCTAAGTTTTTAGTTGAGGCCATGCTCTCTCCAGCTGCCTGTATGTCGGTTTGAATATTGTGAAATATGTTGTGCCATTGCTCACATCAGTCGTGACATCATTAGTACATCCAGGCAGATAAAACGCGCCGTGGCTGCCGGCAAAACACTACTTAAAGTAATAATACAATATGCAGTGTAATATCAATTGATTCTGTTTAATTTTAATTTTGCATATTGATACTCGCGTAAATAATAAGGTTAAAGTAAAAGTTAATAAATGTGGTTTATTATTCTGTCAACGTATTGGTTCAGTAATCAATACGATATTGTGTGACTAAATAGATATTGTATAGGTCAGTGACGGCATCCTTTGAATACCAAGCGTCCACATACAATGATATAACTAGTCGTAATCACTACAAATTGCGTTTTATTCTCATTTCACGGGTAGATCATTGGGAAATAAAATTTAAAAGACAAATTTAACAATGTTTTATTTCGCATCACGTTTCAAATATTACTGTTTACTATGCTGCAGCCCGACAAACAACATATGATACTAGTATAAGCAGCATTGGTGAATGCAATCTACGTATCTTGTATGGTAATTCCGATAGTTTATATTCATGGTAAATCCACCACTTTAAACTCTGTACTTCGTTAGGATTTAGGTTCTTTAATCTCAGGAGACTCGAGAAAACATTTAACTGTCTTGTATGTATAGGTAGGTATTAAAACCAAGAAACCCTTTTAGATTTGAAATGTTGATCAGTATCGATGGCTTAGATAGAATCGCGAAAGGTTAGTCAAACAAAACTAGTGGTATACAACAGGAATTGTACAATCAATTAGACTCTGGCAATTAGCAAATGTAAGATCGTTATCTTTTAACGGGGGATTTATCAGAATAAAAGCAGTCAATTAGTTTAGTTAAGGGACATTACTTGAAAGAGGCAAATAAAGTGTACTATCTTGCGTCAACACGGACATAGCTATCAAATAAATTCCACCTATGACATAAAATATAGCGTTATGTGTCGTATGTACACCGGGCACCATCTGGGGAATTTTAAAATGAATCTTTTCTTTCCTCAAAATATCCACGTGAGATTGCAACTGTATATACATGTGTGTCATTGGATACGTCAAACTCCCGAAACGAGTTAAATTTAGATTGCCTGTCATATTGCTTTCAACAATGTTAACCTTTTGAATGAGATGAGTAGCCAGCCAACCTGCACTATTTTGAGATGTCTGGGATAGTTTTTAGTTAGTCATCGTAGCATACATATTGGATGATTTTGTTCACATCGTTATTATTTATAAAATACATAGTTGTGTACGTAGTCATATTCACAATACTTGTGTCGAAGAAGATAAATTATATCTACATACATACTACAGAGATATTTTTCGATTGTATATGCATATCGACGTTGTTATTGTATTTCGATATAGTATATCAAAATTGGGAACACGTGAGTGTTGTTCCAATTGAGAGTAATCAGGTACCGGATGATAATCAGTCGAGGAAAATCCCCCGATTATGAAAACATCGCCTAATAGAAAAAAATGAAGATTACAGGAAGATGCTGCAGTTTGAAGTAATACATTTATGTTCACTCCAAGCGAACATAATTCAAATATCGAATTTGTAAAATTGTTCTTTATTTATTCAGTGTCATGCCCATATTAATATACATGTAACTTATATGAATAGTGTACAGTGTTAAATTCATTCGAACAAAAGATATTGAATTAATAACCATGTATACAAATTGACTAATTTCAATCCTAGGTTTTAACTGTAAAAAATGCACCAAATGTCATTATTATTAATTAACTAATAATTATAGATAGTAACTGGTTTACATTAGTGTCGTGTCGCATAGATACGTTCCTTCTTCAATGACCTCAGAGGTCAAACGTTGTTTTTAGTGCATTGTATATCGCATGTGCCACTGTGCATAGTTACTCGATGCCGATCAATAGCCCAGGATGGAACTGTGTTACAATCAACCAAACTAAAGAAACTGTTTGCTTTGTGTTTTTCATCGATTGCTTTTTGTGGTTTGAAATTGCATGCACACAGTCTCTCGATTAATTGAATAGGCGTGCATCTGAATACACATAGGAAGGAAGCTGAATCACCAATACTTAGTACTACTAAACTCATATATTTGTGAGAGAAACATATTCATACAAATGAACAGCTCTTATTTAATGGGCGCTGGTCGTCTCTCCGCGTCCTGTTCGATATGGGACTCGTAGCGACGTCTGGATACAACGCGTGGAAAATACATTGTTTACATGAAATTCGAACACGCGCTGCGCGACAACCACTGCTTTTTAAGTCATACAACCTGGTTACGCTTCTAGTATGGAGATATTTTAAGAAAATATGGGTATTTTCCCGATAATAACATTTTCAGAAATACGGCTTGATCTAGAATATTCACCGGGGCTCCAATTGGATGTTTAAGAAAACGCTCGGGCAACGTCAATATTCAAATTTACTGCCCAATTAATTCAGCTTTAAATAAAGGAAGTAAAATTTGCTTCGATTGAATCAGTCCTAA